TAGGCCTAATTCATTACGCTGTGCCAAATTTCGTGCAAATCGAAAGATATATAGGGACTTTGGTGCACCATTTATATTAAATCGGACGAAAATATATATGAGAGCTATATCTAAATCTGAACCGATTTTTCCCAAATTCAATAGGTTCGTCCAAATAAGTGACCTATGCCAAATTTCATCCAAATCGGATCATAAATGCGACCTGTACTTTGTTCACAAAAATACATGGACGGACAGACAGACGGACATGCATAAATCGACTGAGAAAGTGATTCTATGCATTTTCTCAAAAGGAACCATGTGTCTATCTCGTTTCCTTTTGACTGTTACAAACATATGCACAAAGACATAATACCCTGTACCACAGTGTGGTGAATAGTTGAAAAGAAGTTTAGACGCGGTGGAAAGAGAGTATCCACTAGTCTGTGCCGTCTGTAGGCCAGGACTGGACAGCGACACAGGCGATGCTCAATTGTCTCCGTGTCCTCCTCGTCGACACATAGTCTGCAGTAATCAGTAAAATGGTCGGGCTTACTGGTAAAGGTCAGTGGTCGGGCTTACTGGTAAAGGCTCTGATATTGAAATGACCAGTATTGACTTCTATCATTACTCTAAATTCAGCTTTATTCAGGTTCAACAATGAGTTTGTTCTCTTGGTTGACTGAGTCGGCCAGATAGATCTTGACACATTTCATCTAAATCCAATTGAAAATTTATGGTGTTATTTCAAAAAGGATGTTGGGTCATAGCTGAACCCCTGAATAATAATGAACTGTGGAGTTTCATTCAAAAAGCTTGACTAAAAATTCCATGCAAAAGTTGCAAAAACTTAGTCGATTCATTCATTGAATTGTGCATGTTATCTAATTACTAAACTAAGGGTCAAGAACACATTTGAATCACTTTTTCCACTTCAATTTAAATACCTTAATGACATGGTTTTTGGACGATTCTAACCAGCTTTTGGCGACAACCCATTTTTTAATATGTATGAATAAAAAAAAGACTTATTTTTGTGCCAAGTCAGGACCATACGACAGATAACCCATGCATTTCCGGTTTTGCCCTGGCAAAAATTCAATATTGGGTTATCCATTTCGTGGTTTCAAAAGTATGGGACCGGATTTCGACATATGTCAATGTAAATTCTTAATCCAATACTTATACGCTTCACCCTCGAAATATTCACCAGAGACTCCAAAAAGTATATATATTCTTGATCAGAATAAAATATAAAAAAAGAATATGTCGATTTATACTTGCCTGACAGTCTGTCTGTTGAAATAATAATAGAAACTTCAATATTTGAGATAGAGCACATCTTCCTCACGAAGATAATCCACTGGAGTCATGAGAAGACACCCTGTTGCAGTTCTCAGGGAAGCTTTCTGAATATTCTTCCACTGCGTATCACTTACATTCGCAGACCATACTGGCGACGCATAACCGCCACCGACCGGCATATTGCTTCATAAGAGGTCAACAAGATTTCTTTGTCAGCGCCCCAAGTGCTACCGGCTAGCGACTTGAGGACCTTGTTCCTACTTCTCAGCTTATTGTATAAAAAGTTGCTTGCGCAGACTACTTGAACAGGCTGTCGAACTTAACTATCAGTATCTTGGGGTTTTTAGTTGTCGAGTGTTTGGGCATGTTCTTCATCCGCTCTAATTTGATTTATAATATCCCATAGAATGGTGCCATCCAATTTTGTTATTTTTAAGATTTTAGCTGCATCTTCAATCCGATAGAGCTGTAATTTGGTAAAATGGTTCTGAAAGGCTGACTTATATACAAGTTTGTTCGGTGTTCAAGTTTTGACATAACGGCACCTAAATGTTCCGATTTTTATACCCTTCACCACACTGTTCCACAGGGTATTATGTCTTTGTGCATATGTTTGTAACAGGCAAAAGGAAACGAGATAGACACATGGTTCCTTTTGAGAATATGCATAGAATCACTTTTTAAGTCGATTTATGCATGTCCGTCCGTCCGTCCGTCTGTCTGTCCATGTTAAATTGTAAACAAAGTACAGGTCGCATTTATGCTCCGAATTGGATGAAATTTGGCATAGGTCACTTATTTGGCCCAAGGACGAACCCTATTGAAATTGGGAAAAATCGGTTCAGATTTAGATATAGCTCCCATATATATATTTAACCGATTTAATGTAAATGGTCCCTATATATCTTTCGATTTGCACGAAATTTGGTACAGCCTAATCATTTAGGCCTAGAATGATGTGTGCCAAGTTTCGTGAAAATCGGTCCAGATTTAGATATAGCTCCCATATATAGTTTCGTCCGATTTCATGTAAATGGTGCCCCAAAGTCCCTATATATCTTTTGATTTGCATGAAATTTGGCATAATTATGCCTAGAGTGATGTCTGCCAAGTTTCGAGAAAATCGGTCCAGATTTAGATATAGCTCCCATATATAGTTTCGTCCGATTTCATGTAAATGGTGCCCTAAAGTCCCTATATATCCTTCGAGTTGCACGAAATTTGGCATAACGTACTGAATTGAGCCTAGAATGATGTCTACCAAGTTTCGAGAAAATCGGTCCAGATTTAGATATAGCTCCCATATATAGTTTCGTCCGATTTCATGTAAATGGTGCCCCAAAGTCCCTATATATCTTTTGATTTGCATGAAATTCGGCATAATTAAGCCTAGAGTGATGTCTGCCAAGTTTCGAGAAAATCGGTCCAGATTTAGATATAGCTCCCATATATAGTTTCGTCCGATTTCATGTAAATGGTGCCCTAAAGTCCCTATATATTTTTCGAGTTGCACGAAATTTGGCATAACGTACTGAATTGAGCCTAGAATGATGTCTACCAAGTTTCGAGAAAATCGGTCCAGATTTAGATATAGCTCCCATATATAGTTTCGTCCGATTTCATGTAAATGGTGCACCAAAGTCGCTATATATAATTCAATTTGCACGAAATTTGGCATAACGTACTGAATTTAGTCTAGAATGATGTCTGCCAAGTTACGAGAAAATCGGTCCAGATTTCTATATAGCTCCCATATATAGTTTCGTCCGATTTCATGTAAATGGTGCACCAAAGTCCCTATATATCCTTCGATTTGCACGAAATTTGGCATAACGTACTTAATTGAGCCTAGAATGATGTCTGCCAAGTTTCATGAAAATCGGTTCTGATTTAGATATAGCTCCCATATATAGTTTCGTCCGATTTCATGTAAATGGTGCACCAAAGTCCCTATATATCCTTTGATTTTCACAAAATTTGGCATAACGTACTGAATTGAGCCTAGAGTGATGTCTGCCAAGTTTAGAGAAAACCGGTCCAGCTTTCTATATATATTTCGTCCGATTTCATATAAATTGTGCAACAAAGTCGCTACATATCTTTCGATTTACACGAAATTCGACATAACGTACTGAATTGAGCCTAGAGTGATGTCTGCCAAGTTTCGTGAAAATCGGTCCAGATTTAGATATAGCTACCTTTTATTATAGATTGGTTTTAAGTAATTGTCGCACCAAGGAACCAATAGGAACAAAACGTTCTGAAATTAGTATAACCTAACCTGTGACAAGTTTGTTTGAAATCGCTTAATATTTGTATAAAGCTCCCATATATATTTTCGCCCGATTTCAAGTAAATAGGGCATCAAACTCCTCATGTTAGTCAGATTGACATTAAATTTTGCACAACTTACAGAATTGAGCATAGAATTACGTAGTTGCGTTTTCTAGAAGTACAGATATAGCCCAACTGATGACCTATTTATATTTGTTTGAAGTCGATTTACATACTTTTGTCCCATTGTAACAAACGAATGACATGTTTATGGATAGATCTAGGCAGATTCACATTTTGATAAATATCACATATTTTATTTCATCCAATTTCATGTTAATAGTCCTGTTTAATATACCCATAGTGGTGAAGGGTATCATATAGTCGGCCCCGTCCGACTTTACTACTTTCCTGGTTTTGCTTGCTATTGAAGAATACGACTTAAATAATATGTGGTTTCAACAATACGGTGCCACATGACACAAAATCTATTTGTTGCGAGAAATGTTTCCTGGCCGCGTAATTCATGCACATAAACCTTCAACTCTTGAAGTATTTCACAATTCAAGAACTCGAAATTCTAAATTATATCCCCTTCGTTCTACTACTGCGCCTATAACGATCGAAATTTCTAAAATGGACACTCTTCTATATTCAACATTATATTCTGCACACTCCAATTACCCAGGGTGCCAAATTACAGGCGTTTTTTATGAATAATGTGGGTAAAGCCCTTTATACGTTACTTTCATATGTTGGCTATAATAAAACTTGAACTGATATACCTTTTTTCGAAACCAAATATTAACGCTTTATATTAAATATTGCATCTCTATATGTGAATTTCAACTGGAGGTTCATTGCTTAATTTCAAAGAAATTTTCGATATTTTACCAAAAAACGCGAAAAACGTATGAAATGTCCAGTTTTCTTTTCAAAATCGAGTTGGTAATATGAATTATATATTGATTCATTCACAAATCATAAATTTTTTCCTACCAATGTTGTAAAATTGAACTTTAAAAAAATGGATTATAAAATATATATCACATATTTTTGAAGTATACTTTTAGGCATAAGCACGCGAATTAGAAGGTCAAATACATGTATACATAATTTCAAAAAGAATTGGAGCATTAGCAAAAAGTATAATTATATTTATAAGAGCAGTTTGGAGTTGCTTCTGAAACCTCCAATTATTAGCGAGAAGAAGGAACTGCGAAATAAATTTTTAAGAAGTTAAACATCTAAAGTATTTATGATTTGCTAAATAAGAAATCTACTGAAAATGTTCAATTAAAAAATAAAAATATTTATGATATGGCATATATTTCCAATTTAACATTTGACATTTCTAATTTCCAATATATTACATGCTTTCAAAACTTATCTCCCTTATCCACAATAAGTTACATCGTTTTTCTTCATCTTTTTCTTTGCAGTGTGAAATTCACGATGTCGTCTATGGTAAAATATATCTACCGCCAGATGTCACAGTTATTATACAAACTCCACAGTTTCAACGTCTGAAACAATTAAAACAATTGGGACTGCTGAAACTTAAAAATGGCCTGGAGCAAAAACACAATCGCTATCATCACTGCATTGGGTGGGTATACACAGATATGTTTGATAATAATCTGTGATCTAATATTGAAAATTCATTTCATTTTAGGACCTACCATGCAGCTGGTTTAATGTTGGAGGCTTTAGAAAAGAATACACCATGGTTATCGGAAAATAATAATCGGATACCATTGTTATATCGTCAAGCTGTCCAGGTGAGTGAAATATCGGAACTGAATAAAAACATATGGATTCTACCTTAGATTAAGTTCGAACGATTGCAAGCAAGATATTTATACCCTAAGCAACTATGATGTAAGTGTATTATAGCTTGTTGTGGCCCCAGGAGTTTGTAACGCCGCGAAATATTGATTCTAGATCCACCTTTTATTATATCATTCCTATATAGCTGTGCCGATCTAGCCTGTCCATTATAATTTGTAAACACAGTACAAATTTTGCAGATAAGTTGGTTCTGGAATCAGATCATATATCAATTGTAATCTCGTGGAGAAACCGAGTGACTTCATAATGTGCTCTAGACATTCGGCAAGAGAACCTAGTGTTATTTATCCTTTTTACTGTCAAAACGAAAGAGTTTTTTGTATTTTTGTATACCGTTCACCACACTGTGGTACAGGGTATTATGAGTGGATATGTTTGTAACAGGCAAAAGGAAACGGGATCGACCCATGGTTCCTTTTGAGAATATGCAGAGTATCAATTTCTGAGTCGATTTATGCATGTCCGTCCGTCTGTCCATGTTAAAATGTAAACAAAGTACAGGTCGCAGTTATCATCCCATTTGGATGAAATTTGGCCCACGGACGAACCCTATTGCTGTCCGTCTGTTGATGGTAAATTGTAAACAAAGTACAGGTCGCATTTATCATATGCACGAAATTTGACATATCATACTGAATTGAGTTTAGAATAATGTGTGATAAGTTTCGGGAAAATCGGTTCAGATTTAGATATAGCTCCCATATATATTACCGTCCGATTTAACCCTTTCAGTGTCAAAAAAATTTTTGTCGGAATAAAAATCTAAAATTTTGTATTTAAAATCATATAAAGGCACAGAGTTTAGAAAAAAACACAATTTTTATTTTAACCCTCGGACAGTTTTGTCTGTCTTTCAGCAAAAACAAAAACATAAATTGTAACGGTGTGATAACCGAAAAATCGAAAGAGAAAGAGAGTAATTTTAAATGTCGAATATATTCGACAAAAACACTGAAAGGGTTAAGGTAAATGGCGTACCAAAGTCCCTAAATATCTTTCGATTTGCACGAAATTTGGCATAGCGTATTGAGTTAAGTCTAGAATGCTGTGTGCTTAGTTTCGTGAAAATCGGTTCAGATTTAGATATAGCTCCCATATATATATTTTCGTCCGATTTAATGGAAATTGTGCACCAAAGTTCTTACATGTCTTTCGTTCAATTTCATGTCAATGTTCTTTCGAAAAGTTGTCGTCTGTTAGGGGACTTTGTAGAATATACCCAAAGTGGTGAAGGGTATCATATATATCCGACTTTCCTTACTGGTTTTTTCTTTGGTCCCAATTAATAAATCTTTATTATTCCAGATTGCTGCCCTCTTACATGACATTGGTCATGGGCCATTTTCGCATACATGGGAACGTATTGCACATAATTATGAACACGAGAAGATTGGATTTGCCTGCGTTGATGAAATATTTGCCAGTATTGATGAAACCTTATTTCCAGAACTCAGAGCCAATAATAATTATGGTATACGCCTGATAAAGTCACTAATACAAGGAAAAATTAAAAAATTGCCATCATTCCAATTAGAACTTCCAAAGAAATATCACTTTATATTTGGTGTAAGTTAAAAATATTGTAATTTTTTTGTTACAAATGATATAATCAAAATCTCTTATTAGATTGTCAGCAATGAACATTATAAAATAGACGTAGACAAATGGGACTATTTGAAACGGGATCATTATTATTTGAATGAGATATGCAGTCCCAATATGGATTTTGATGATGTCTTCCTTAAGGCCAAAGTATCACAATGTGGTGAATATATTGAATATCGTTATGAGGATTATAGACGAATCTATAATCTATTGGCGGCACGTTGGCATTTTCATCGAGACTGTTATCAACTGGCCAGTAATTTAATATCCGATGAAATTTTCCGTCTAGCCATAGCGGAAACCAAAGCGAACATTGATGGTGTCGAAATTGAGGATATAAATGCTGAGCATGATATGCCGGCATTTTTAAAAATGACCGATGAAAATGTTATGCGTTTAATTGATAATCATCCATTGAGTACATTGCTGACGAGTGATACGGAATTTCATCAATTGAAAGACAATGAAGAATTGCAAGAAGTGGTAAAGTTTAGAAAATATATATTTTTTGTTTATATTTTAATAATGTAATTTTTTTTCAGATTTCCCAAACGAAAATTGATATACCCAGTGTTACCTCGTTTATAGACTGTGATATTTTCCAATTTTATGGTACACCACAGTACGTATAAAAATAAGAGTAAATGGAATTAATATATGGGCAATATTGCCAATTTTTTAATATTCCATTTTCAAAAAATCAGCTTTTTTGTTTTTGTGGCACATCAATGATTTTTGGTACACATATAGAGAAAAATGTTCTGACTCCGAAACCGTTCGCGATCAAATTTTTGGTTGATGCGCGCAAAAGTTATCGGGGTTTTATCTTTGGGCATAAGAAAAAAATCTTAAAATTACGTCGTTTATTATATTGACCAAAAACGTTGATATATATCTTCCTCCGTAAAATAAGAATATGAATATATTATAATAATCGCGAAAAAGTTGTACATCTTCGCGAAATATGAGAAAAATAATAAAAATATAGGAGATTACGTCAATATTTTCATTATATTAATGACATACACACACCTAAAAATTAATTTAAAAATATCTACATAATCTAAACACCATGATGAATCAAATGATATCAAAATCACTCAAGTCAGTGTAGCGGTTTGTAAATCACAGCGACAACAAAACAATATATTGAGGAAAAATATTTGTTTTTGGTTCAAAAAAAAAATAATGTAATCATATTTATTTTTTCATTTTATACAAGAAATTTCAGACAAAAATTTTGGGGTTATTCTGCTATTTTACCCGAATTTCGCCGAAAAATTTGCATATATATTAATAATCACTTTTTGTGTGTAAATATACGCCTTGCGGATTATATCAAGACCCTTCCGATAAATCTTAGAATTCTATAAATAGGAATAAATTTAAAAATAAAATAATATTATGAAATATACATTTTAAATTGCGTGTAAATCGCGTAATTCTCAAAATCGTTTGATGCGCATGCGGTTTCCAGGAAGTACTGAAGTTTATCTTCTAATCCATATATATTTTGCGAAATTTCATTTGACGGCTAAGATGTGCCGCACGTTACATTGAAGTACCAAAAAAACCGTAAAACGCGAATAATTTCCGAAAACTCCATATGCCATTAACGCGCATCCGATTTCGGTGTGCACCCTAAAAAAATACATCGATCTATACCATTTCAATGTGGTCCATTAAGAACCATGGATGTGCCACCACAATCTATTTTTGAGATAAATTGTGTACATCTCTCTTTCGGCTGAAGTTTTTAAAGTTCTCTTTTCGAAAAAGATCAAAATCCGTATGAGGTCATTTATTGAAGCGGAAATGATCCACAGAAAACGCAAATAAATCCGCGATATTTTCAAAAACATTTTTTGCCAAATTTCGTGTTTTTGGAAGGTCAGTTCCCGCCGTTCTAGTAGATGGATTTTCACGAAAAAGATTTTATATCATCCGAAACGTAAAAAACCTTATTGATCGCGGGTACCCATATCATTCAGTTGACAGATCTAAAAATTTGGCCCGAAAAATAGGTTTTTTAGAAATTTGATCGCACAAAATTCGCACTTTCGGATGAGTATTACTCTGAAGCTGTGCATACTACATACACAAAATACATATCAAATTACGCAGATTCGCGACTACAATAATCTTATAATCGATTTTTATAAATTCCTGTTGGCGTATTAAAGCTAGAAGTAAAATTAAAAAAAACACTCAAAATCGAGCTTCAAAATGTCAGCATCATTTAAAGGTAGATGCAGTTAAAATTTTGAAAAATGATACAAAGGGGGTGTAGTCCCCATTTTGTTGGCTTCTAGTTTTATTTTGACACGAAGGCCGTGCAATGAGTGGCTTAGTCACAAATCGGTAGAGAACATAAAAAACTGGTTTGCCTCAACCTGTTTTTACACATTTTTTTACATTAAAGTAGACACAGCTTCCACCAAAATAAAGTTTGGAAATCAATATCATGAACAGTTTGACGACAGATCAATTAACCCAAAACTATTCACTTTTTTTCATATACTTAAGTAGTTCCCGAGTTATAAAGGGGTGAACCTCCGCTTCAGCTATGTTAAAAAATTGGCAATATTGCCCATATATGCTACAAGATAATCCTTATTCTTTATTTTACAGAGACAAACCGGTAGTTATTGATGAAACGAAAAACATTCGCTGTTTTGTTCAATTTAACTATGATATAAGGTAAATATTATATTCAATCAAAAATAACCTTTCAACTAACAATAATATTTTATTTTGTTTTTAGCAAAAGAAAAGTATTTTATAAACTAAAAAACATATAGTATGCCTGGCGCTACTGATATTCACATGAAAACCTGAAATCGACATCACAAACAAACTCAATCACAATAAATACATCAGCAGTTCAACAAAATACATTGCCATACCAAAAAAATCATAGTATAAATTATATTTCGTTTTATTTTTTTTTAAATATTATTTTAATAATAGCTTATGTACTTAGAAGTTATGTTTTATTTTTTGTTCTGTTTTAACTTGAAGTCTTTTTAACTAGTTATTATTATTTCATTATATATTACATATATATGTTTATTTCATTATAACATTTTTTATGTTTTCATTTTGTTGTAAAACAAACCGTTCATTAGTATTTTTATTAATGCATACATATTTCTATAATTTTCCGGTAAAATTATTTTTTAAACCAGTATATATTTTTTTATTTTAACCACTTCCCTATTTTCCCATTATAATATATTTTCGTATATTTTCCTATATATTTTTGTGTTTTCTTCTTTTATATTATTTATGTATATAATAAAATGTTTTAAGTTCTTTCGAACTTTTCGAATTAAATGAATTTTTATTATTTGGAAATTGGTCTGTTTGGAAACCAGAGGTCTTTATAAAGACCAATTGGTTTGTATGGAGGTCACAGGTCTTTACAAAGGCCAATTGGGCTGTATGTAGAGACCATCGATCTTTATAAAGGCTAATTGAGCTGTATATAGAGACCACCGGTCTTTATAAAGGCCAATTGGTCTGTATAGAGACAACAAGTCTTTATACAGACCAATTGGTCTGTGTAGAGGCCACCCGTCTTTATAAAGGTCAATTGGGCTGTATAGAGACCAGACGTTTATATAAAGACCAATTGGGCTTTTAGAGACCACCGGTCTTTATAAAGGCCTCTAGATCTCTTGTAGTAGGTTCGTCCTCTTTGATATACGTCCAGGAACCACACTATTGGCGCACTTACTCAACTTCAATTTTGCTCCCAAAGAAAAATAATTCATAAAATATGTTTTTATATATTTTATTTTTTTAATTTATTTTATAATATTATATTGTTATTTTTAATAATAATACTATTTAATATTAAAGAAAATTAAAAACAAAATATGTATTTAAATCTGTTATAAGCTAAATTTTAAGAAAGATCACATTAGTTTTTGTTCGTTTTTTTTTTTTCTAGAGAGAGAAATATATATATTCCTAATATACGACATTTTATTAGAAATAACACAGTGAATAGAAAACAAAATATGGGTAAAAAAATAACTTAAAAAATTATATTTAAACAAAATTAACAATTAATAATTATAACTATAACAAACATAAAAAGAGAAACGCACATATTTTTTATACAAAAAATATTTATATTAATAATAATAAAAAAATATTTAAAGGAAACAATTAATGGTTCTTGTTTTCTTAATGTGAAATATGAGAACAATTAATATAACAAATATATTTTTAAATTAATTTTTATAAAATGAATTAAAACGAAATAATAATTACAAAAATGTACAAATGTATGATTTTGTATATTAGATTTTTCTACTATTTTTCACTTTTCAGTGGAATTTATAGACTCTTCTGTTTGCCTGCCGCTGCATTGTTTTTGTTAGGGGTGTGAGATTTTTTTGTTTAATTTTTAATTTATGGCCTTAGGCGTGGTGCTATTTTATCGGGCAAATGCGCCGCCAAATATTGTTTGTGCAAACGTTGTCGACAGAATTGATAGAATTCGATTTCATTGGTAAAATTACGACGCACAATCTCCTTAACACGTTCACTGACCGGCGGCTTGAAATTGTTTTTATTGATTTTCGTTAGATATTCGGCACTGGCTGGAATTGGAGGAAAGAACAGATGATTTAATTAATTAGTAATATAATACTTAAAGATATTTTGTAGTTCAAGAGACCACAGGTCTTCATAACGAACAATTGGGCTATATAGAGACCGCAGATCTTTATAAATACCAATTGGTCTGTATAGAGTCCAATGGTCTATATAAGACCAACTGGTCTATATAGACAAATTGGTCTGTATAGAGACCACAGGCCTTTATAAAGGCCAATAGGTCTTTATAAAGACCAGTTGGTCTGTGTACACCAATCTTGTCTTTTTAAAGATAAATTAGTCCATACCGACTAATTTGTCTTTAAAAAGACAAGATTGGTATATACAGACCAATTGGTCTTTATAAAGACCAGTGGTCTCTTTACAGGTATTTCTTTTATTTCTCGGTTCGGATTGGTCAATTTAATGTTAGGTTAGAAGTTTTTCAATAAGTACTTACTGTCATATATCTCTCGAACACCTTCAAAGAATCGTGGAATATATTTTTCAAATACCGACAGCGTGGTGTTGAGATCTTCCAAAACACCCACAACCGAATATTGACTTTCCACGGCATATTTAGCACGTTCCAAAGCTCCAACAGAATTAAAAGGCCTGAAATGTCAAAAAGAGATCGCAAATATAGTATATTTTAAAAAATCTCTCTCTCTCATATGAACAACTTACGTGCATTCATAGGCATGACCACAAAAGAACAAACTTTGACGACGATGATCGCCAATACCCTCCACCGTTACACCCTGAGTATAGGTACATTCCTGGTCACCGGACAGAACACATGTTTCGAAATCCTTTTTCAACCACGCGGGATGAGGTAATGGCAAATCGGGAAAGGCAGCTTTACGTTCAACAAAATACCATGGTGCACGAACATAATAGAACCAACTGATGACGCGTTCGACAGGATCTCGCACAACGTTAATATAGATGGGTGTGGGTAAATTGAATTTCGTGAAATTTGTATAGCAAACATGTTTGATGAATACCGATGGTTCGGGTAAATCACTTATTACTTCGGCCAATTCATGTTGTTGCTCTTCGGCCAGGCGAATTGTTTCGACTTTTTGTACAGCATCACGATGAAATTGGAAGTTATTACGTTCCGAAAGACGTCTCAGCAGCTCCATAAATGTTTGACTACCCACCTTGGGTACACGATTGAAGAAGACCAATTCCAATTGTGCTTTACGCGTATTGTTGAGATCGTGCACATTGAGAGATTGCATCTAATTATTGGAAATTAAATGGGTGAGAAAAATTAAGAAGGGCAATATTTTAGTATGTGATATAAAAAGGGATTTGAATTGATATTTGTTTTGGAATACTTAGACCGGTAATTGATATGCATTTGTTGGTATCGTTGTTTACAGTTCGGCGGCCACGATGAAATGTTTTTTTCGCCAATGGTTGTAAGCATTGTTTTCGGCTGTTCTTTTGCTTTCATTCCAATTTTTTTTTCAAATTCCAAATTATATTAAATTTTGATAACATTCCATTGTGGACTTTAATATTCAATAGACGTTTATATTAAATTTTCCAATAATATTGGAAAACTTTAGTAAAATTTCATTTTAAATTAGAAAGTATAGAGACAGATCGGTTTAACGGGACTGCCAACAAAAGTAAATAAGACCACAAAAAATCACACATTGAATTTTCAGGATAGTTTTATTACAAAAATCTGTCCTCAGATTTTTTCAATAGACAGAAATTCAGACCACAGGTACGAAGGAATATACTTTAGCCCTCAGCTACTGATGTATTTTTAATATATAGAGAAAAATCAGACCTGTGGTCTCCATACAAGCCAATTGATCTTTATAAGGACCTGTAGGCCTATTCAGTAATTTTTAACAACATTCGATATTGTTTAATTTTCTTTTGTTTTGTAAAAACAACAAAACAAATAAATGAAATTGTTGTAAAATAAACAATGTCGTATGTTGTTAAAAAGTTACAGAATGGGCCTACTGTAGTCTCTATGCAGACCAATTTGCCTTTATAAATTACCCAGCTGTCTCTACTGACCAATTGGTCTTTATAAAAACCTTTGGCCTCTATACCGACCAATTGTTCTTTATAAAGACCTCTGGCATCTATAGAGACCAATTGGTCTTTAAAAAATCAAACCTCAGTTACCGAGGTGACATTTTTGTAGAGGAGAAATCAAACTTCTCTTACAGAAGTGGATTTTTTTTCTATAAAAATAGTGAGACCTCTGCCCTAGAGGCATTTTTTTTCTATAGAAAAAAATCAGACATCAGTTGCTGAGGGTTTTTTATAGAAAAAAAATTAGTTGTCAGTTGCTGATGTGACTTTTTTCAATAGAAAAAAATCAGACCTAGTTACTGAGGTTAGTTTTTTTCTATATGTTTCCCTTTTTTAATAAAAAAGGACATCTCTACAAACTTCAACCTTTCAGCCAATCCTCAATAAAAAAACAATTTCTTTTTTATTTTTATTATTCAATTCATAATTTTTTTTGTGTTAAAATTTAATTATAATTATTATCAAGCTTCAAGGCTAAATATTGTTTATACAGCATCTGCTTACAAAAATAATAAAAATCATATTCATTTGTCAGATTTTTGCGGATGAGATCCTTAACGTGATTGTAGATTTTTGGTTTACGATTGTTGCGATTGCGATTTGTTACGGCTTTGTTATATTCTAAAAGAAAAAATTAAAAACAATTAAAAATATTGAAATTTTGGGAAATAGTAAAACTTACTCTCAAAAGTAGCCTTGGCCCCCTGAAAGAACCTGGGTATATAATGTTCAAACACTGTCAGCGTAACATTGGTATCCTCCCAAGAGCCGACCACAGCATAATCAAGTTCGACATTACGTTTGGCAATTTGTATGGCTTTGGGTGAATTAAATGGTCTATAAAGGGGAGGGTAATTTTTTTTTTATTTTTTAAATTTCCAAATATCTCTTCTACAACTTACAGGCACACCTCATCATGTCCACAAAAGAACAACGATTGCCGTTTATGATTACCAAACGGATCATCCGTGCTATCCGGTACATATTGACACTCTGGATCTCCGCTAAGTACACATTTGTTGTAATCTTTTTTAAACCATGCCTCCGGCTTGATCGGTGCATCCGGATGTTTACTATAGTATATGGCATTTTTATAGGCACTACGAACATAAAAATACCACGAAATTAAACGTTCCACTGGATCACGTACCATATTGATCATAATGGGTTTGCGGGTGTGTAACCGTGAAAAATTCAACCAATTACAATGTTCAATGTAAACAGTTCCCGGTTTTAATTTTCCAATCCAATTCGCCTGAATTTGTTGTTGTTTCGGTGTTCGTGTACGTGTCGAAATGTCTAATGGGCCTTCGGTTAAAACTTTCATATTGCCATTATCATCGGCCATATGTTGGATGAGTTCCATAAGAGCTTCACTGCCAACTTTGGCGACCCGATTAAAAAATATTACCTCCATATCGGCATATTTGGTATTGTTTAAACGGCTGGGATTTAGCGAGTGAAGCTGTGTGTGAATGGTATATAAGATGAGGTTTTGTTTAATTTTTTGTTGGGGGAAAATTGATCACAGCAGAGGCATTTTTGGTGAAAGTTTCAGACCCGTATGAAAAAATTGTTAGTATGGTTTTGAAACAAAAATATATAAATTTGAAGGTATTCAAAATAATACAACATGCGATGGGGTTTTGCTAACAACGACAACAAGAAGAATATTACTAATCAAAATGACATTTAAAAGTGGAGAAATACGTTACAATAAATCAAGTGCTTTATAATGTAAACACTAAGAGAATAAATAAAAGCAAAACGCATTTCGGGAAGGCTGTGCTTTTTAAATAAAAAAATCCTAATCTACTAATGACAGATTTTATATTGTAACGCCCAAACGTCGTGAGCACGTTTTTGTTGTGATACATCACCTTATTATTGCATCATGATTAAAAATGTTGAGTTTTAGCCGATTTGATATTGCAGTGGATAATTGTTTTCGAAGTCTTGTTAGCACTGCAGTGGAAGATTTAGACAACGATGCACCACTCGTTAATTTCTGTAGTGAATTCAAGGCGGAGGCAACTGCAATCAACGATGGAAATAAATGGGAAGACAAAGGCCTCGTAGACTCAGCTCTGCTATAGCACGCCGTGCTCCCAATCGTATGGCATCGACAAAGACCTTCTTCAAACTGTAGAAGGTCTTTGGCAAGGCTTTTGACACAGTCTGGCAGCACGGCATACTTTATAAGATGCAATCGCTTGGATTCGATCAAAAAACTTGTCGCATGGTGGCATATTTTCTCAAGGATCATGTATTTTGAGTGAAAGTACAAGATAAGATGTCTGAACAGCAATTGATCAAAACAGAGGTGCCTCAGAAGTCACTACTGGGACCAGTTCTATACAACCTGTTCGTATGTGACATACCAGGGCCACCTGAAAGAGGACTGCTACTAACATACGCTGATGATGTGTTACTTGTACTACGAGACTGCTTTGGAAGCACTGTGGAAAGAAGATTGAATGTGTACATGGAAACACTTTGCAACTACTTCAATAAATGGGCCCTTAAACTCAATGTTGGAAAATGTGTATCGGTGGTTTTCAAGGGCAAACACAAGCCTACTGCGAAGAGCTTCCGAAAATACATTCCAGCTATAAAACTTGGAAATGAATTCATAGGAGTGTCAGACAGGAAGAAATAACATGGAATTATCCTGCATAAAAGATTCGACTCATAAAAGATTCACCTACTCCTTTGCTGCATGAGCAGACGTATCGTCAGCCCAAATGGAAAGGATTAGAATGTGGGAGAGAAACATATTATTGGAATGAGGCCAACACTGGATAGCAATGGAATTTATAGACATACGGCCTATAGGAACATCTACAATGTAATTGACTTTAAGCGGATCAATGTCTGCATGATGAAATATACTTTTAACAATCTGGAAAGGAGACAGCTTGTGGAAAATGGAATAGTGGTGCAATACCTGGAGTGCAACGAGTAAATTCACTCCATACGGAAACGTTTCCCCCTAGCAGCTTACCGGCTGATGTAATATAATCGGAGGTACCACAGATTTGAAGCCGATATTGAGCCTATATATAGTAAAGCTCAATAAAAAAAATTGTAAATAGTTTAATTGTATGTTTAGTTCTAAGTTGATTTAAGTTTGATTTTTTTATCGCCCATGTGACATGTTTCGCGAGTTTTTGAATTCCCATACTTTTTTAAATTCCCATGTTGTGCAAAATGGTGTGCTCAATTTCGAGCTCGAAAGCATAGCTGTGCTCAATATGTTACGAAATGTGTTCAATAAAAAACATATGTTTCATTGGAATTTGCAATTTGTTTAACAACAAAACTAAGAAAAAAAATATGCCTGCTGGCTTATTAATTGCCCTGGTATCTACCAGAAAAAGTCTAATGATACTGGAACGTGTTAAAATAAGCATTTATGGATATTTTGAGAGAAGTTGGTCCTTTCATACACAAGGGTACCATTCCCGAAAGCCTGCAGTTAGCAACTACCTTCAGATTTCTGGCTGTTGGTGGGTTTAAGAGGGTAGTGGCAAATGATTTATAAATAAGTGTTGATCGCACAACAATGTGTAAAATATTTCGGAGAGTAATGAAAGTCCGGGAAGACAAAGTGTGTGCAAGCTGTGGACATCTGCAGACCAGGAGGAGCCCTTTTTTATTTTCTTTAATTTTACTATAACAATAATGTTAATACCGTATTTTTTAAATAAATATTGTAAAAACACCTTAAATATTACTTCAGCGTTCTTTTTCAACTTATACGTGCTCAGAAAAACACGTACGATCTCATTTCGTTTTCAATCCACAAATCTAAATATGCTCGAATTATATTCCCAATATTTTTTTGGGAATTCGGAATGGAGCACACCAAGTTTGGGAAAATGTTTCACATTCGAGCAAACTCGAAATGCAGCACATGGGCGAATTTTTTAAGGCATGACAAGTTTTTTTAGAAAATCTGTATATGTACTACTTTTTTTAAATATAGCATTCTAAATGCCGCGATAGATATAAAATAGTTTCGTAGTCTCCTACATTGTAAGCCATATGGCATCGGAGAAGTGGATTTATAGTTTAATTTTATACGGTAGCCATTAAGTTAATTGTACAATGGAAATGATTTTCTAAATAAATGGCAATTTTGAAATAAAATGATAATCGAGGCACTCTTCTGTAGATGGCTGTGGAACACTTGGCTGATTCTGTTTTACTGTATAGTCGAGAGGAGTTGCGAAACGAGTCCTCGTCTACCAGTGAAGTAGTAGCTGAATAGTTGGGTGGGGTTGAAAAACCTTGACCATACAAGATCGGGAGAGAAAAAGCTAGACAAACTTTTCATAGAAAAAATAAACTCAGTAGCAGAGGTCTGATTTCTTCTGTAGAAAAAAAGTCAGTTACAGATTTGATTTTCTTCTATAGCTTAGACTGATCGTGGTTTGGGTATAAGATCGGATTCTTTTCATTTAGGTCAGTTGTCTGCATGACAATTATATTAAATTTATTATCGAGATTTCAGAGAGCTGCCAGTATATTTTATTGTCATTTTACAAGATTTTTCTTAATATTAAGTATACGCCTCCCATGGGAAAATAAAAAACAATATATTTGTTATATGTATTTCAATTGTTTTCATATTTATTTCAAATTACTTTTGTATAGTACAGAACTAAGTGCATCTCTTAATCCAATAAACCATTAGCCTGTAATTCCTTCAAATTGGCGGCCAAATACTGTTTGTACAAACGTTGTTTACAAAAATAATAGAACTCATATTCGTGTGTGAAATTTTTACGAATCATTGCACGAACATCATCGTCGACTTTCGGCTTGCGTTTGTTCTTGTTGCGATTTGTTATCTTGTCACTGTGAACTAAAACAAAAAAGAGGTATTTTTTTTGTTTAGTAAAAAAATACATTCTTTTGATGAAAAGCTGTACTTACTTTCAAAAATAGTTTTGGCCCCATTAAAAAATCGTGGTATATATTTTTCGAAAACACTTAAAGTGATGTTGGTATCTTCCCAGGAGCCAACAACGGCATAATCACGTTCCACATGTTCCTTGGCCATTTGAACGGCAGCTGGTGAGTTAAAGGGTCTAGGTTTTGTGGAGGGATTTTGAAACAATTATTTTTGTTTTCTTAAAGAAAAAAATTATTTCAACCAGGAGGTATGGCATGTCCAAGAGAGTTTGAAATTTATAAATTTTTCAATTTATCAAAGAAAGATTAGAAATCTTATTTTAATCATTTCTAACTTGAAATGTTGTTTATCATTAATTTGATGCTCTATTCTGTAATATTCTCATAATATATTTTTTACCTTAAGTGACTGGGGGAACGGGGAAATATTTGAGGTGCGTGAGTTAGGTTGTAACAAGCGCCATCTATACTTTAATTATTGTGGTGCATAGTTGTAGGCTCTGAAATTTTAAGCGGTTCTAATTTAAATATAGAAGTCCTACTTTGAGCCTTCCAGCTATAGACTATTTAGATATGAAAGACTATAATAAGGTCCTCATATGTTCCGCAACTTCATATATTTGAAACACATCAAAATGTGCGCCTAAGACCTCATAGAGTATATGCATACTTGATCAGAGTTAATTTTTAATCTATCCAAATATCCTGAGACCAACGTTTATTTGGGTAGCCTAAAAGTATGCACCGTACATTATATATATTGCAGCAAGCGCCATCTATACTTTAATTATAATAATAATTTTGAGTATAATATTGTGGTGCATACTTTTAGGTAAGCCAAATCAAAGTTGTGCTACTTTAACGCTCTTCAATTCATAGGCATTTTAAGAAATGTCTATGGGCTTTACAAACATAACCTTTAATTTTTATACACTTTGCATATTGCAATAATATATTTTTAGTGCATAGTCTTAGGCTCATAAATTCCAAAACAGTTTAGGAATCGACCCTAGGTTCGACAAAAGGATACTTGATTTATAATAATAATGGTCTATTGTACCTTATTTCGGTGCATACTTTCGGGCTACTCAAATTCAAACTCACTTGACCACAATCTAACCTTCGGTTAAAATGAAATCCCCTTCCATTCCTTTCATTTACTTACAAACAATCATCATGATGTCCACAATAGAACAACGTTTGCCTCTTATAATTTCCAACGAAATCCTTAACGCTAAACGGTATATATTGACACTCCAAATCACCGCTACGTACACAATAATTAAAATCTTTCTTATACCATGATTCGGGTCGTACCGGTTTATAGGTTTCACGATTATATTCTATGGCATTTTTGTAGGCTCCACGTACATAATAATACCATGATATCACCCGCTCCACGGGGTCACGTACCATATTTATATAAATCGGTTTGGGTAAATCAAATTCCTCAAAATCTATCCAATTGACATGTTCAATATAAACGGAACCCTCATCTAATTCCGATACAGTTTCGGCCAATTTTCGTTGTTCCCAAGGTTTAAGCTGACGTTTGGTCTTCTTACGTAAACCTTCACGTTCAATATAAATGCCATGGAATTTTTCCAAAGAATTGAATAATTCCAAGAGAGATTCACTGCCAACTTTGGCTGCGCGATTGAAAAATATCACATCGATATCAGCTTTACGGGTATTATTTAGAACGTGGGTATTTAGTTTGGCAAGCTGTTTTTTGGGAAGGGAGAAAAGTCAGAAAAAATTTAACATTTTTTAAATTTGAAATATTCAAATGCGAAGCCAAAAAGATTTCAAGCTGAGAATTAGTATGGAATTTAGCTGAGAATGTAGTAAAGGTTCCAATCATTATATACATGTCATGTAGAAATATAAAAAAAATTGGAAAAATAGAAATGAAGCCAAAAATTAAAGAAAAATAAATGCATACGCCTTCAATAAGGAGGAAAAATTAGAAAAAAACTTGAACTTTCACGATGCGAAATATACGGCAAATAGTTCAGTATATTTTTCCGAGCAAAATTTCTAATATGAAAACCCAACATACAGAGATAATACTTTCTATAGATTTGCTATGGTTATTTTTGCTTGAGGAGGGCCCCATTATACAAGATCGCTTAGAATACTAATATAAGGTCTTCCAGGTATATAAGGTCTAAGCATTTTTAGAAAGCGGATTTTCTATAAGTCATCTTTAGTTATTATGAAGTATTCCGAGTCTTTTCCAATCAATGGTACATTATCAGTTCTACTTTAACTGTTTCTTAAAAAGTTATAATTTTTTCTTATATCCTAAAAACTCCGAACGTTGGGCGCCAAAATGTGTAAAGTGTAAAATATATTGTCTACGACTATAACATGCATTTGTTATCGATGACGAAGGTTGAGTCCAAAATATAATTTACTATTCCATTTTTATAGTAACAAGTGTCGGGATGTCTGTTTTTATCTAACAAACTATCCTGAGATCATTTCTTCTTTTGTTGGGCCTAAAAGTATGCACCACACCTCTATAAAATAAAATTATAAATACTCTACGTCCTCGTAGTCTTTGGGTGTACGTATGTATTCTTGATCAGAGTAAAAATTTATCAGGACTTTCGCCAGTTTTTTATATAAGAAACTACCCTGAGATCAACTTTAATTTTGCGTAGCCTAAAAGAATGCATCAGGCATTTGTTTTAATTTTGAAATAAAATTTACTACTCCAGTCTTTAATTGCAAAGCTAAGGAAGAGAATTGTGACAATTTTTTTCCATTCCATACTTCTAAAATAAGGTTATCGTCCCATTTTACAAACTTTGACGGCCTTGGCCTAAAAGTATGCGCCATACTTTTATAATTTTGTACTGTAGACAGAAGAGTAAAATTTAATTTCTAAAATGTATTTTGAACCCTTGGATATTGTTTTTTGATAATTTAGTTTTAATGGCGCCCAATATGTGGATACTGATATCTTCCTACATTTTCCCCCCCTTGGACATGATCACCTCAATAATCATCAGAACACCCCAGTTTTGTTTTTTTTCCAAAATTTACTTACAAACAATCTTCGCTGTGTCCACAAAAGAACAACGATTGTCGACGAAAATCCAATTTCGGTTCACGTATTTGCATTTGAATGAACGCACATTCTGCGTCACCACTTCGCACACACACATTGAAATCTTTTTTAAACCACTGCTCTGATCTCATTACAGCATTAGGAAATTTATTAAAAATCATTGCATTGCGATACGATGAACGTATATAATAATACCAGGATATAACCCTTTCCACCGGATCTCTAACCATATTGATGTAAATAGGTTTGGCTAAATCGAACGTGGTAAAATTAATCCAATTAACATGGGAAATATAAACAGAACCATCAATCAAATCGGCAATACGTTGGACAATTTTTCTTTGTTCCGCTTGTGGCATATTCATAAGAACGCGTTGTCGTAGACCACGAAAATCTATATCAAAATTATTGAATTTTTTTAAGGTCATCAATAATTGGAGCAGAGATTCACTACCAACTTTGGTGGGGCGGTTGAAGAATAAAACTTCAATGTCGGCTTTGGGAGTATTGTTCAGTTTAGCCGCGGAGAGGTTTGAAAGCTATGCGGGGGAAATGTAGAAATTGTTGATAATTTTGGATCTTTAATTTCATGGAGGGAAAGGTGTGAATTATTGGTAATTTCGAGAAGGGTTCCATGCTTGTCAGGGGTAACATTCGTTAGTCAAAAATGGTACTACTTTTAAGGAGAAATCGGAACTACGGGGGTCTTAAAATTTATGGGGGAAAAAGTGTGAATTAATGGTAATTCCCGATCTATAGTGGAATTGCAGGGGGAAAATTCGTTAGTCCACAAATAGAACTACTTTTAAGGAAAATTGGAACTTTGGGGGAATATATACGATGTTCGTTAGTTCAAAAATGGTACTACCTTTAAGCACAAATTGTGACTACTTGGAAAATTAGCGGCGCATCAAACGTAGTTTGGGATACTTTTTTGGGAGAAGTTGGTAGGACACAGAGAGGGGTAGGTTTATTTTATGGAAGTTAAGTCACTGTGAGGTCTTTGTTTTATTTTATAAATTTTCATGGATATTTGTAGACATTTTCTACGTAAATTTTGGATGAATTTTTAAAGTACAATTGTAACCGATATTATACGAAAATATTGACACGAATCTTTGGATTGATTGATGCGAATCTTTGGATATGGAAGCTACAGTAGAGGCATGTTGAAGTTAATTTTTCTGGCAGACCTGTAGAAGGTCTCATATATAAAAATATATAATATTTTACCCCTTGAAACCAGTTGATGGAATTTTATCCCTAAGGGTTATACACTCAATTGGATACCTGTACTAGCTCTTTGAACAATTTCCAATCTGTTGGTGATACAATATCTATGTGCGAGTTATGTTGTTAAATATCTATATTTTGAATGAAGTAATGTGTTCTATTTACCCATAGAAGTACACTCCTCTCTAAAAAATGAAAAAAATACCCCATTTTTAGAAGTGGTATTTCTATACAAGTTCACAAGAAGGACTTCTATGAGAAGTGTAAAATATAGAAAAATAGGCATTCAGTATCTAAAAAAGACAAGGCGATACACGAACTTCTTTATGAGTGGTTATAAGGCCATGCTTTATTGTGAAATATTTGTCCTAAGGTACTACATAAACTACCCTTGCTTGGATTAATCTAAAACACACAATATTTATCAATAAACTATTTGCTCCAATAACAGAATTTGATCTGTGGAGAGTTTTCCCATCGTGAGCGTCATTAAATCTGAACATCAACAACTGTCTTATCAGCGTTGAATGTGGGATTTTAGAACATGCTGAACGACTGGCTAGAGGATCTGAAAAATTAAATTTCCGTTAAAAGTATTTTGAACAAGAAGAAATCCTGCTTTCACCAACTAATCTCCAGAAGTTCTATAGAAAATCCTGTAAACTATTTTATATTTAACGAAGACCAGAAAAAGGTTTCTTATCTATATATGCTTTTTCTGGAAGAATGTTGGAAGGATTTCCATTTTTATAAGACCTATGAAAAGTTCGTTAAAAACAAAAGGTTTTTATAGGTCCGGAGTCTATAAAAGATCTATGAAACTTTTATAACTACACAAATATAAGAAATAGAATAACTTTGGGATTCTTAAAGAAATCTGACACTTTAATATTTCCAGAAGTTCTTTCTTATATAAGTTCTATAAGACGACACCAGGAATTTGTATTCGAAGACTATCTCTAATTTTGTATATAAATATTTTTTTTTTAAATATCTATTGGTCCCATCAGAATATTCCCTAGATCAACATGGTAAGGCTTAAGTATTCACCAAATCTTTGTTATAGTTTAGACATTTATTTTGCTACTTAAACATACACTTTCCAAGACTGTAGGATATTTTATATTATATTGTATTATGCTGGAATTCATTTAGAAGAGTTTTCATATAACGCAAAAGTGTTTAATTTAGAAAGATTTTAAATTTCCTGAGCCTAAAAGTATGCACCAAACCTTTGTTTTAGTTTTTTTGAACTCAAATTTACAACTTTAGGGAGTATATGATTTCTTATTTATAAGATTTATCAGAAGTAATTTAGATTGAATTTCAAATATACTCCAAAAAATTCTTAATTTAGATACATTTTAAATTTGGCTATCCTAAAAGTATGCACCATACCTTTGTTATAGTTTTGAAATTTATTTTACAAGTCAAATTTCATGCACTGTCAAAGTATGTAGGATTACAGAATAGACCTACAGGAGTACCTTGTACTTCATATATAAGTCCTGAGACTGAACCCAGAAAACTGCTTAAATCATATAAATTTTTAATTTGGTGAGCCTAAAAGTATGCACCATTTTGACATTTATTTCAATACTGAATCCTACAACGTAAAGAGCGTTTCAAAGAGTATGGCAAATTTTGTAATTGTGTATTTATACATATCCACCGACTTGCCCTTCAGAGCACTCTCCAGAGCAATTTGCACACGGCCAACCAAAAAAAAAAAAAAAAAAAAAAAAAAATGCGAGCAAAAAATCCAATTCGACCGAACTTGTGACGGTCTTGGATAATGCCCATAATTCTTGTAATATATTATTTTATTTTTATATGTATTATTTTGCGACTGAAATCTTAAACACAGAAAAAATACTTAATTCAGGTGCATTTTTAATTAACTAAGCCTAAAAGTATGCACCAGCCTTCACTACACTACACTAGCCTTCAACGTACTACGCCGAGTAAGAGTATTATGCCATTATTTTTCAATAAATGCAACGAATGCGACATATCAAGTTAATTTGATTAGTCAGGCTCCCTATTACATTTCACGACCCTAAAAGTATGCATCATGTCGAGAGAATTCCATTTGTCTGTAGAACTATGACGCTGTGATTGTAGTTTTCAACTCATAATAAAAAGTATTAATTGGGTTAATTTTACTTTTGGTTGGACTAAAATTATGTACACTGGCTTACATAATTTTGTGTAAATTAACAGATTTAAATTATTAAATCCGTTTCTTATTACTTTTTTGAGCCTGGAAGTTTAATTTATTAGTCCACTACACTATGGGTAAAAAGTATGATCTTTTGGCATAAAATCAATTTTTTTTTTGTTTTCATATTTTGAAATGTAACTGATTTCCTAAATGTAGACATCCATATTAGAAAAAACATTTAATATCAAT